ATCTTAATATAGTTAATAACTTACTTTAAGCTTTTATCTTAATAATATTTATAAATAAATAATTTATATATTTTTATAGCGTTAAAGTATTTAAATAATAAATTATTATAATATTTATTAATAAGCTCTTCTTTTAAGGTTTTATCTCTAGAGATATAAAGATAATTATTATATCTTAATAATTTCTTAAAATCTAAGATTTATATTTAACTATATACGCGATATTTAATTATTAACTTATTAATATTAATTCGAAAAGAGTTTACTTAATTATTATAAACTTATAAATCTTAAATTAATATTTTTATTAATTTTTAAAATATATTATAAGTAATCTCTTATACGATTTTAGATTTTCTTTTAGAAATAATTATTTAAATATCGATAATATAGAATATAAGCGCTATCGCTATTATAATCTCTTTATTTCTTTATAATTATTTATTACTAATTTAAAATATAAATTTATTTTATAATATTAATAAAAATTTAATATTTAATAATAATATTTTTTTATAATTAAAGCGTCGCGATAGCGAGTTAATAGAGTTTAATTTATTTATTTAATAAAAAATCTTAAAGTTATAAATAGCTAACTTTAATATCTAATAAGCTTATTTAAAATTTAATTTCTTTTATTTTATAAAGTTTTTAAGATTATTATAATTTATTAAAATTTTAATATAAAACGTATTATCTTTTAGATAGTAATATTATTATTTTATAAACGCTATAATAGCGAGTAGCTCTTAATTATAAGTCTTATAATTTTACTTTATAGAAATTATTTTTTTAGATTAGAATATTATTAATTATTAATAATTATTTTTATTCGATTATAAAAGTATAATTTTTATATCGAAGTTAAAAGTATTAATTTTAAGATATAATTTTAAATTTAGATTATAGTAGTATAGAAATAACGCGATTATAAAAGTGCTTTAAAGCTATTAAAACGCTAGTTTAGCGTTATCTATTTACTCTAATAATCTAAATTTCTTATTATTTTTATTTTCTTTAAGTAAGTTAATAAGTAATACTACTATATTAAAATAATTATAAATAAATTATTAATAAAAATTAATAAAGTCTAAAAAGATTTATATATTTTAATAACTTTTTAATTTTAATTACTTCTTAATAATAGCGATATATTTTTAATTTATTATAATATCTTTAGTAGATATAATAAATTCTAAAAACTTAACTCGCTTAATATAGAATTAATATTTCTTTAAATTAGTATATAATTAGAATTAATATAAATACTTAAGTATTTACTTAATATAGCGCTAATACTTTACTAAATTAATACTATAAATTAAAATATTATTTAAATATATTATATATATTATATTTATTAAATTTATAAAAGCTCTATTAATATATATTTAAAAAGTTATTAATATATTAATAAGTTTAAAAGATATAATTAAATATTCGAAGTAATTATAGCGATTACGAAACGCTATTTTTTATTTATTACCTTCTTTAATATAAATTTAATAATAGATATTCTTAAGATCTAGCTTTATAAAGACTTTAACGCTATATAAATAATTTAAAGTCTTAATAATTAAAGATAATAAGTATTAATTTTTAATAATTATTATATTTAGACTTCGATAATTAATATAAAGATAAAGCTCTCTATTCTTTTTAAAAATAAAAAGAATTAATATTTTAGCTAAGAATATCGAGTAGTAAATTTAATTTTTCTAAAATAAGTTTTTTAAATAGCGTTATAGCTTTATTAACTTCATTTAAAATAAATTATATAAAAAATTATATAGCGATTTTTTATTACTTTTAATCTTAATAATATAATCTCTCTACTTAAGCGTAAATAAGATTTTTACTTTTTTATTAAAAAAAATATTATTAAACTCTAATAACTTTTAAGAAAGCTTTAGATTATATCTATTTTCTAATTCGCTATATATTATTATAATATATATAATTATAAATATATTTAACTTCTATTTAATAGTTTAGATAAATTTAATTAATTTTTTAATTTATAATTTATTAGCGTTAATTTTAAACTACTATTACTTTATTACTAAATTTAATAATATTTATAATTAATTTAATTTAAATATATTTAATATAATATTAAGATTTTTTTAATTAATAATATAAAAGAGTATATTATACTTTCTACTTTAACTTTAATTATTTACTAATTAATAATCTAGCTAATACGCGTTATAATAATATATACTTTAATTACTTAGCGCTTTTAATTACGATAAAATAATATTATAAGATTTTAAATTTTATTAAACTACGAATTTTTATAAAATTAAATTAATATATACGCTTTAATATCGAGTAAAGTAATAAATTATCTCTATTTATCTTAAAGCTTTATTTACTTCTTTATAAGAATAAAAGAAATTATCTCTATTAATTATTATTCTTACCTCGCTTTTAAAATAATTATAAGATTTAATCTTTTTTTATTAATATTATATTAATATTAATAATAAATAATTTATTAAAATCTAAATATTTAGATATTTAATAATTCTATTTATTATAATAAAAATAATTATTCTTTTTATAATTAAAGTTAAAGAATTTAATTTTATACTTTATATTATTATTATAAATACGCGCTACGTTAACGCTATTATTCGAAATTAATTTAAATTTCGAAATTCGATTCTCTAAAGACTTATTCTTAATAAATTTTTTTAAAGATTTCGAATAAGAATCGCTATTAAAGTATATATATTTTAAAATCTTTTTCTATATAATAGCTTAAATAAGAATTTCTTCTTATTATTTCGATATACTATTAATACTTAAAATCTTATTTTTAAACTTTAATTTAAATTTAATTAAGAAGAAATTAATTTAATATTTTTTAGAAAATAAAGATAAATAAGCCTCTAACTTCTTTAGATAAATTTTAAAAATAAATATCTTCTAATTAAAGCGTTATTTAGTTTTTTTTTACTTTTTATAAATAAGAAAATAATAATTTATTAAATTCGCTATTAAATTAAGTAGAAACTATTTAAAGAATTTAAAAATTATATTTCTTAGATTATAGATTTAATAGTATCTATATTATTAAGTATTAAAATTATTTTTTAAAAATTATATATAATAAATAATTCTTACTTAATTAATAGTAAAATATTTAGAATTTATAAAAAACTTAATTTCGACTTCGCGGAATTAGCGTAGATACTCTTTCTTATTAATACTCTTATAAGAATATATTCTTTTAAAACGAAGTATTTTTATCTTAATTAATATATTCGTTAGAGATATAATAGTAATCGATATAAGTAAATTCTCGTTAATTATAAATAATAAGTTAACGTTATAAAGCTCGCGATTATAAACCTCTAATATAATTAATTCTTATTCTTATTTTAAATAATAATTTTCGATCTTAATAATTATAAAACGTTATTTTATAGTAAGATCTTTTATTAATAAGAAATTTTTAAACTTATTATCGACGCTATAGCGGCTCTCGATATTATCTTTATTTTTTACTATACGATTTAAAGATAAACTCGATATTATAATAATAATAGATCTTTTTCTTTAAAAGATAGAGAGATTAGAATTATAAGAGTATAGTTTATTAATAATTAATTAGCGGATATAAATTATAAAAGACGTAGTATTATTATAAGATTTAATAATATATTTAATAATAGAATTAATCTCTAAAAAATATTAAAACTTCGAGGTATATAAAGTAAATCTATATTCGTTAAGCCTCTAAGTATACGGGGTATATTATTAAAATTGAACTCTAAAAGAGACTCTAACATAATATATACGATGTCGGCGCCTTAGTGTAAGTAGCGTCAAGGCCTATAATAGTATTAGATCTGATAATAATAGATAAATAAGAAGAATACTTCGAAGAAATTAAGTGATAATAAGGCTACTATTATTAAAAATATCGCTTAGCTCTTTATAATTCTACGTTAAGTTATTATATATCTAGATAATATTATATTATAATATATTACTATAATAAGTATATAAGAGAAGAATCTACTACGTCGATTATAGTTAATTAAGTCTCTATAAAAGAATATAAGACGATATATATTTAAACGAATTAAAATCGTTCGATATCTTATTTTAACAGTTATTTTATTATTCGAAAGCTTTTATTACGATAGAGAAACTCGTAAAATTTATATTATTAATTAGTTTAATATCTTTATTTCTTTCTAGTATTTCGAAAACTTATTTATATATATATACTTCTTACTATAAGAATATAATATTTCTCTATTTTTTATAAGTAATTATCTATTTATAATATAATATATTAACGATTATAGCTTAATAGTCTAGTAATATAACTATAAAGATTATTATAATAAAGATCTTATTATTAAAGAAGTTTATAATATATATATATAGTAAAAGAAAAAAAATAAATAAAATTTAAAGAGATTTATAACTCTTCGATAAAGATTTTATCGAAGTTTATAATATTATCTAATCGAGTTAGCGGTAGAAGGGTAGGGCTGTTTCTATTTTAAATCATTTCCTTTAAAAAAATTGCTAAACCTCCCTACTGGATCAAATGAGGAGCAGATGCGCCTCATTTCTTCATTCTGTATTGCATCGCACTCCATTATTTAATCCACCTTTTCGTTGCGACTCCCTCAACGAGTGCAAGAGCCCAGTCTTTCCATGAGCAAAAGGTATGCGCCCCCCCCTCATTCTCTTCCTTGTATTTGCCAAACCTATCATTTATCACTGAATCAATCACTGAACCCGCATTATTATTCATTTGTGACATGTACGACAGGAAGTCTTCTGTCCCTTGTGGGTCTGGGCTGAAATGAAGATTTGGAACTCGGGTCCGCCCTCGGATGCTTGGGGCCCGAGGACATGGTGATTGGGGAGACAAGCACAGCTGGGTCTGTACGAATCACTGCAGATAGATCATTTCCGTCGCACGTTCCTTTGGTTGTATCCTTCTGTCTACCATCGTCCGTCATTCATGAATGTCTGCTGTCATTAAGCAGATGGCTGCAGGCATTGCTCTTCATAGAGTTTTCGACGCGTTCCCATCCAATGTCCTCTTTATCCCTGTTCTCAGCCTCTTCATTGTCTCTCTCTGGTCTTTCTATTCTTACATCCTCCTCCAGCAAATCCCAGGGCCCTTCCTCGCCGCGTTTTCGAATCTTCCTCGCGTATCATGGGTTCTGTCTAACCGAGCGCACGACATACACATCGATCTGCATCGAAAGTATGGAAAATTGGTACGCTTCGGACCGAACATGGTCTCGGTTGGCGACCCGGCCGAGATCCCAACTCTATATAGCTTCACTGGAAAGTTCACCAAGGTAAGGACGGCGCCAATCCAACACCAGGGTAGACGAAGTGGTCTCTCTGATTATCACCTTTAGTCTGACTTCTACCATGTCATCGTATTCTACGCCAAAGGCAAACCAGTACAAACCATCTTCACGACACAGGATGAGAATATGCACCGAATGCTCAAAAGACCAATTGCGGGCATCTACACGATGAGCAATCTCATGTCCTTTGAGCCCTACGTTGACACGACCATTTCCTTCTTCTTCGCCCAGCTAGACAAGCGTTTCGCGCAGACTGGAGACATTTGTAACTTAGGCACCTGGTTGCAGATGTTTGCATTCGACGTCATGGGCGAGCTTACCTTCTCCAAGCGCTTGGGCTTCCTGGAGAGAGCGGAAGATGTCGATGGGATCATGGAATCGATTTGGCATTACTTCCAAAAGACGACTCCCGTGAGTCTTCGCTCTGCGATCGCTTCAAGACCTGTGTACTGACAAGGTGGTAGGTCACGCAGATCCCCTGGGTTGACCGCCTCTGGGCAAAGAACCCCATATTCCAACGCCTAAAGGCCGTCCGCATGAACCCCATCGCCGGATTTGGGCTCGCGCGCATTGCAGAACGTAAAAGCGCGCCGGACACCTCTGACGACAAGGAGTCCTCGACCAACTCTCGGGATTTCCTCTCGCGCTTCCTCGAAGCCCAAGCCAAAGACAAGTCCATCCCGCCCTGGTATCTCGTTATCCACATCCACCCCTCAACCTAACTATGGGTGCCCCAACCCCCCAAAGGACTGAATCTAATTACTCCACCTAGGGCCCTCACAGCGTGGACAACCTCCAACATAGCCGCCGGCAGCGACACAACCGCCATCCTCCTCCGCACCACGATTACCCTTACAACGAATTAGCTTAGAGCTATTACCCCTATAACGAGCTTTAAATATAGAGCTATTACCCCCATAACAGGTTTTAAATATAATCTATTATATCTTTCTAAGCATCTTTCTAAATATTTATATTTTACACTCTATTTTACCCTATTTTTAATATATAATATTAAAATTTAAGGGGGTTACTTAGGGGTACTTCGGGGTACTTAGGGTCCACCGAAGTAGCCGAGGTATACCCCGAAACCCCGCCTTCGGGTCAGGGCGGGGTCGGGGTTTCAAGGTGGACTCGAAACCCCGACCCGAAACCCTCCCCCACCCCGACCCCCCAAAACCCCGTCGGGGTCCCCCGCCCCGTTACGCAGCGTATAATATATTAAAGCTTTACTTCTATCGAATTTTTTCTTACCTCTATCGAGTTATAATTTAAAGTAAAGTAAGTATAGATTATAGCTTAATAGAGATAAAAAAAGTTTTATAGAGATAAAGCTTCGATATATACTTACTTTATCTCGAATAAACTTATAGTATATATTAAATATATTCGTTTTATTTTAAATAAACTTAAATTAAATTTAAAATAATATTTATACTTTAGACTATAGTAGTCGAAAAGATATAAAAAAATTAAACTTAGAATTTTTTAACTTTTACTTCTTTTCTTTAAAAATTTTATATCTTTATAATCTATTTATAGAATCTTATAATTCTTAAAGTTCTATAACGAGGCTAGTTTATTTTATACGAGACGATTTTAAAATACGATAATTTATTATTACGATTTTAATAATCTTACGATCTTACTTATATTATAGCCTAATTAGGCTTAGCGTACTAAGACCTTTTAACCTTTCTATCTTATTATAAAGTCTATACTTATAATAATTCTATATAAATAATATTCTCTTTATACTATAATATAGAGTTATTATATATATTATTAAGTTCTTAATATAATACTATCTATCTTTCTTTTAGAGCGATAATAATTTATTTACTAGTTATATTAAATATATAGTTAAAAAGAAAATATATTATAAAAAAGTTAATAGCTATAGCTAAAGAAGCTTATTACTTAAAAAATTATTTAAAAGAAAATCTTTTACTTATATAAAGATTAATCTAATTAGATTAAATAAGAATTTAAAGAAAATAAATATCTTTAATATATTAAAGAAAATAAATCTTAAATAGAATCTTCTTTATACTCTTACTAATTTAATATTAGCTATAAATCTCTTAATCTTAAATCTAGATAATATTTAAAGTTAAACTATTATAGATAAATTATAAATATATTATTATTTAAAAGAACTTAAGAACTTCGATAAGAAAATTCTAAATATCTTTAAAATTAGATTATTTATATAATATAAGAGAAAGCGTTTTATCTCTAGAAGATATATTATTAAATTTAATTTAAATTATATCGAAGTATAACTTATAAATATTATCGAAGAAGAGTTAATTATAATCTTTATCTTTATATCTAACTTATAGAATTTTATAAAAAGCGCTATTAAAACTTCTAATACTTAATATAATAGATTAAAGATTTTAATAAAAAGCTTTTAAACTATTAATCGTAATATTAAGATATTTTAATAATAAAATAAAGAACTTAGCTATAATATCGCTTATATTAAGATAAAGATATTAATAATTATTATCTAGCTAAGTAATAATAATAGCTAATTATTTTATAAGCGAGAAATTAATAATAAACTTTAAAGTTTATATAATAAATATTATATTAATATTACGAAATTTATTAAAGAAAATAAGAAACTTAAGTAAGACTTAAAATATAAAGAGTAATAGCTAAAGAAGTAATAACTTTTTATATTAGCTATTTTAAAAAACTTTAATAAGAAAGATATAGAGATTATATCTCGTTAGTCGAGTATTTTTATTAATAATATTTATTAAAATTTATATTATATCTCTATTACGAATCGCGTAGAGAGTATAGAATTAAATAAACGATATCTCGATATCTCGAATTTCTATAATATTAATAATCGAAATAAGTAAAATAGCTAATATTAATATCTTAAAACGAAGTTTAAATAAAGCGTTATAATCTTTCTTATTAAACTTAAGAAAATCGATTATATATAAAATTATTATAAGTTTATTATATATAATATTATTAAAATAAAAGTAAATAAAGATATCTTAGATTTATATTAAATTATTTAAGAAATAATCGATAAATTAGATAATATATTCGAAATATATAATAAGATTATTAAATTAAATATTAAGATATTCGATTTTAAATTTAATATAAAAATAATAAATAAGAAGAAATTATTTAAGAACTTCTACGTATAATTCTCTATAGCTATTACTTTCTTAGAATTTACTAATATTTATAAAATATTTAATCTAAAATAATTAATCTTTATACGTTTAAGATATCGAATTTTAAAATAATCTTTTAATACTTTTCGAGAATTAATTATATTTCTATAAGTACTAGATATGTTAGCAACTCAGCTAAAAAAGCTGATTCCGAGAGTGTCTGCGCTTGATAGTTAGACACCCCTATTTGAATCTAAATATGGCCCCCATAGAGGTTGCTTCTAACAATGCCTCCCCCTCTAGGGGGCTCGTCCTCGAGCTCCGAAGATGGTGCAAAAATCGCAGCGTTCCGGGGACTCACTCCCCGAAAGATCCACGATCTTAAGAACAACATACCTGTTAGGCCTGATGCGTCATGGGCCTTGGCGCTGCTTACGCTAAGGCGCCGATATCGTATGTGCTACGTCAGGGTTCCTTTTAGGGTTTAGTTTCAATAACGTGCCTTGTATGTCTAGGGGCTTGGCGAACATAGGTCTACTTCGTATATCCCGGAGTTTTAATATTTCTTAGAGATTAGTTCTACTATTAAATATATTATTAAATCTTATAACGATATTATATCTTTTATAGCTTATATCCGCTAGCTAATCGTTAATAAACTATATTTTTATAATTTTAATCTCTCTATCTTTTAAAGAAAAAGATTTATTATTATTACGATATTAGATTTATCTCTAAATCGTATAATAAAAAATAAAGATAATATCGAAAGTCGCTATAGCGTTAATAATAAGTTCGAGAATTTCTTATTAATAAAAGATTTTATTATAAAGGAATATCTTATAGTCGTTAGGGCCGAAAATTGTTATTTGAAATAAGAATATAAATTAACTATATTAAAGATTCGTAATCGCGAGCTTTATAATATTAACTTATTATCTATAACTAGCGAAAGTCTATCTATATTAATTACTATCGTATTTCTAATAAATATATTAATTAAGATAAAAATACTTCGCTCTAAAAGAATATATTCTTATAAGAGTATTAATAAAGAAGAGTATTTACGCTAGTTTCGCGAAGTCGAAATTAAGTTTCTTATAAGTTTTAAGTATTTTACTATTAACTAATTAAGAATTATTTATTATATATAATTCTTAGAAGACGACTTTAATACTTAATAATATAAATATTATTAAGCCTATAATCTAAAGAATATAACTTTTAAATTCTTTAAGTAGTTTCTACTTAATTTAATAGCGGATCTAATAAATCGTTATCTTCTTATATATAAAAAATAGAAGAAGATTAAATAACGCTTCAATTAGAAGATATTTATTTTTAAGATCTATTTAAAGAAGCTAGAGGTCTATATAATCTTATTTTCTAAGAAATATTAAATTAATTTCTTCTTAGCTAAGCTTAAATTAGAGCTTAAGAATAAGATTCTAAATATTAATAGTATATCGAAATAATAAAAAGAAATTCTTATCTAAGCTATTATATAGGAAAAGATTTTAAAATATATACGCTTCGACGGCGATTTTTATTTAAAGTTTTTAAAGGGGTTCGCTAAGAATAAGTCTTTAAAGAATCGAATTTCGAAGTCTAAATCGACTTTAAACGGCGGCGCTTATATAACGCGTATTTAAGACGATAATATAAAATATAAAGCTAAATTCTTTAACTCTAATTATAAGAAGAATAGTTATTTCTATTATAAAAAATAGAGTTATTAGATATCTAAGTATTTAAATCTCGATAAATCGTCTATAGCTTATATCGGCGTAGTATTAATAAAAAAAGATTCGATCTTATAATCGTCTTAAAAGCGAGATAAGAACGATAATTAATAGAAGTAATCTCTTTTATTCTTATAAAGGGATAAATAAAGCTTTAGAATAAATAGAGGTAACTCGTTACTCTACTCGATACTAAAGCGTATATTAATTTAATTTCATAAAAGTTCGTAGTTTAATAGAACTTAAAATCTTATAACGTTATTTTATCGTAATCGAAAGCGCTAAATAATTAAAGTATATATTATTATAGCGTGTATTAGCTGAAGTATTAGTTAGTAGATAATTGAAGTTAGAGTAAAAAGTATAATATACTCTTCTATGCTATTAATTAAAAAGACTTTAATATTATATTAGATATATTTAAGTTAAATTAATTATAAGTATTATTAGACTTAGCGATAAAGTAATAATAATTTAAAATTAACGCTAATAAATTATAAATTAAAGAATTAATTAAATTTACTTAAATTATTAAATAAAAGTTAAATATATTTATAATTATATATATCGCGATAATGTAAAGCGAATCGAAAAATAAGTATAATCTAAAGCTTTCTTAAAAGTTACTAGAGTTTAATAATATTTTTTCTAATAAAAAAGTAGAAATCTTATTTACGCTTAAGTAGAGAGATTATACTATTAAGATTAAGAGCGATAAAAAGCCGCTATATAATTTCTTATATAATTTATCTTAAACGAAATTAACGAAGCTATAACGTTATCTAAAGGATTCCCTTTAGAAAAATTAGATTTATTATTCGACTTTCTTAATCGAAATATCGATTCTTTTTATTTCTAAAAAGAATAAGAGGCTTTATTTTTACGTTAATTATCGAGGCCTAAACGCGATAACTATTAAAAATCGATATTCGCTATCTCTAATTATTAAGACTCTAAATCGCTTATACGACG